ACACGCAATCGCCCATCGATCGCCGATACGTGCCCGATTTCCCAATCCGCTCACGAACTTGCGAAGTCGCTATCGTGGGGCCATCGCCGATTGATCGGAGATGTGTCGCCGATTCCAGGTCGATGTCCCCCCTGGGCCAGTTACCCCCCTGAAACATCGTGAAACAATGCTAATGGCGCCCTAGAACTTATCTTTTGATGCATTCTCGGAGCCTGCAGGTTGATCTGTGATGGAAAAGGGACCCGAAACGGGGCGGAAACGTTTTGCGAGACAAGAATTACAGCGCCCAGATCTCAAGGACGCGCACTAAGGACCAGGGGGTCATTCTCCCTGCGCGCAGCCACGACGGCGAGGGCCCGCGCGCCGACCCCCCCCCCTCTCGAACGAGCCCAAGCCGCTGGCCTGGCCTCGGACTCTCCAGGCGCGCGCGGGGCGCGGGCATCGGCTATCGAGCGCGTCTCGTGGATCCTGGACGGTGCGGCGACCACGCCGTAGTTCGGAGGTGAGGGGGTGAGATCGAAGTGGAACGGAGAGCCCCCCTACCGGGAAATCGATTTCGGTTCCGTGTTCGTGTGTGCCGTACGTGCGGGCGAGGCAAAGCTGCGTGGGCGGGCGAGAAGAATGTCTCCTGTAGCTGAGGCGCGGCCAGACCAAATGATCCCGGACCGGCGTCCGGTGGCCCGCGGTGTCCCGCCGGTGTCCCGCCTCCGGCTGAGGCGCGGCCGGACCAAATGATTCCGGACCGGGCCCGCGGTGTCTCGCCGGTGTCCCGCCGGGGTCCCGTCGGTGTCCGGATGATGATGATGATGATGATGATGATGATGATGATGATGATGATGATGATGATGATGATGATGATGATGATGATGATGATGATGATGGTGGTGGTGGTGGTGGTGGTGGTGGTGGTGGTGGTGGTGGTGGTGGTGGTGGTGGTGGTGGTGGTGATGATGATGATGATGATGATGATGATGATGATGTTGTTGATGATGATGATGATGTTGTTTTTGTTGTTGGTGATGATGTTGTTGATGATGATGGTGTCCCGTGGTGATGATGATGTTGATGATCCTGATGATGATGGTGATGATGAGATGATGATGATGATGATAATGATAATGATGGTGATGATGATGGTGTTCCGATGATGATGATGAGGTTGACGATGATGTTGTTGATGATGATGAGGTGATGATGATGGTGTCCCGATGATGATGATGGTGTCCCTGTGATGATGATGATGATGATGATGTTGATGATGAGGATGATGATGAGGTGATGATGATGATTCGATGATGGTGGCCCGATGAAGATGATGATGATGCTGATGTTGATGTTGATGGTGATGGTGTCCCGATGACGATGATGATGCTGCTCACGATGATGGTGTCCCGATGTTGATGGTGATTGTGATGATAATGTTGATGATGATGATGATGATGATGATGATGATGATGATGATGATGATGAGGTGATGATGATGATGATGGTGCCCCGATGGTGATGAGGATGATTACGTTGATGACGATGATATTGATGATGCTGATGACGTTGATTGGGAGTTCGATTCGATCGAATGAAATAGATCGAGTGAGAACGATCGAGTGAGATCGAGCGAGCGAGACCGATAGGAGATCGATAGTGAGATCGATAGTGTGACCGATGGAGTGAGACGGTGGTTCGTCCCCCCCCCGAACCTCCTTATCACCCGAAGGGTGGTCGTATAGGTAATTACGGTGGGTTAGTGGTGGCACAAGAACAGCGGAGGGGGGACTCTGGGCGGGGCAACGCAATCTTTCGGATACCATAGCGCCTTCTCTTCCTTTTCTTGTTCTTATTCCCCAAATTGGAAGGATTAGGTTCTTGCTATCACTCTAACCGCGCCGAGGACCCACCCACTTACTTTCGCCCTCCCCTTCCGCACCCAGAGTCACGCCCATATCATAATATGATGATGATGATGGTGATGATGGTGTTGTGGATGATGAACATGGTGATGATGATGATGATGATGATGATGATGCTGATGATGATGATGATGATTATGATGATGATGATGGTGATGGTGATGATGATAATGATGATGATGATAATAATGATGATGGTGATGCTGATGATACTGACGCTGATCATGATGAAACGTCGATGGTAGTGACGAACATGACGATGATGATGCTGATGATAGTGGATGCTGCCACTGTTGGTAGATGCTGATGACGATGCCGATAGTGATGCTGTTGATGATGACGACTGTTGATGCTGATGGTTCTGAGCATGGTGATGATGTCGGGGATGATGGTGAGTGGTGTTGCTGATGATGTCCAATGCACTGGTGATGCGTCTGATGAGTATGACGTAATGGTGATATTGATGCTGATGATGAGTGGGAATATAGTGTTTTTGCTGGTGATGGCAACATTGGAGCTGATGATGACAATGATGCTGATGGTGATGATGATGATGTTGATGGTGATACTTATGCTAATGCTGCTGCTGCTGTTGATGATGCTGATGCTGGTGATGATGCTGATGATGATGATGATGATGACGACGGAGCAGATTCTGAGGATGTCTCAGGCGAGGCGCTGGCGTCAGCACACAGAGGAGCAGCCATGGGGTATCTCACTCCTCCGATCGCGCCCAGATTGCGGGGATATCTCGAGCGATTTGTGTGTTGTGGGGCGCAACATCCTCCGCTTTCGGAACAGACTCCAAGGATGTCTCGGGCGAGGCGCTGGCTTTTGCAGCCCAGGAGGCCTAGATTGCGAGGATATCTCGAGCGGTTTGCTTGTTTTGGTGGGCAGATTCTGTTACGTTCTGAGCAGATTCTGAGGATGCAGCTGGGGCCCTAGCCTTCTCTTCCGCAGGCCAAGCAATCTGTATGGTGATACTGATGATGCTGCTGCTGATGATGATGATGATGGTGATGATGGTGATGGTGATTGGGATGCTGATGAGCAGGATGATGTTGTTGTCGTCGTTGGTCATGGTGATGCTGATATTGCTGATGATGATGATGCTGATAATGGGAATGATGACGGTGTTGATGATGATTATGATGATGAAGGTAGAAATGATGATGCCGTTAATGAGAAGTATGACGGTGGTGATGTCGATGTTGATGATGGCGATGATGATGTTGATGATGATGATGATGATGGTGATGGTCGTCATGATGGCGATGATCATGATGATGGCGATGACGATGACGATGTCGGGGGCGATGATGATGGTGATGATGATACTGACGATGATGATGATGATGATGCTGATGATGATGATGATGATGATGATAATGATGATGATGATGGAGTGGGAAGTAGAAGGCGCGCGCATTCGCTAAGATCAGCACTGGCACGGACTTCTTAGAGGATGATAGCGCACAGGGGTGCCAGTGGTAGGGGCACATCATCAGGAAACTGGCACATTGTGAGGGGATGTCTCAGGCGTTTCGCCTACGTCGGACCGCAACTTCCTCTGCTTTCGGAGCAGATTCTGAGAATGAGGCGGCCTCGTTTCTACTGTCGGCTGCTGGAGTACCGCTTCGGGTCACGGGGCACCGCCATGACCGCCAGACGACGACGACGACGACGACGACGATCCCCTCCCATCGTGCAGAGACATTCACCCTAAGCTTAGTCATGCCCAGACTCATGCACAGACTCACGGCGCATAGGCCCATGCAACTAGATGCGCGTATGGGGAGTTCCACGCAGGGACTGCGTATATAGTTGCTCGATTCTTACTATTATCAACATTTGTTTCTGTCAATGCGTTCCCTGGCCCCCTTTGTCCCCGCACTTGCTTCGGGCCAGGATGTGGGTTCCCCCTCTCCTTTGCCTGTTCCCCACCCGTGGAGGAGAACTATGGTTCTACATGATGATGGCCTTCGGCCCATCTCGCCACCGTGCCGTGGTTGTGGGTATGGAGCCTACTGGATGTTCGTTGGGATTTCGTGGGAGGCCTCTCGGGGGGCTCTTGGAGGCAGTTTGAAGGCCTCTTGGGGGCCGTCTTGGGGCCTCTCGGGGCCTCTTTTGGGCCTCTTGGAAGCATTTTGAGCCCTCCTGGAGGCCTCTTGAGGGCCTCCATGGGGGCCTTTTGGGGCGGAAGGCTCGTATTTTTGGTTCGTGTTCCTTCTCTTGGCGTCTTGGGGCCCTCCTGGGCCGTTTTGGGCGCCTCTTTGGCAGTCTTGGGGGGGCTGGGGCCAGAGCCAGGGCCAAGGCGGGGCCGACGGGGAAATCACGCCCGTGTCCTCCTTCTCCAAGGGGGAGACTGTCCGAGAGTTGGGGTCACAACCCCTGAGACCCCCCTGGGACCACCCCCGGGACCCCTCCTTGGGATCCCCCCGCAGCGGGGAAGGCACAAATGAAAGGGGCTTCCGTCCGACGTATCACGACATTGTTCGATCCCCCTTGTTTGTTCGATCTCCCTTGCGACGACGACGATGCAAAGGAGGCTGGCGCACTTCAGTTTGGGTTGAGCTGGCCTCGCATTTGTTTCTATTGATTTGCGTGTCCCTGGGCCCTTTCGTCGGTTTCTTTGACGAAGAGATGCCCAGAACATTGGACCTTTCGGAGAACAGCGCAGTCCTTCTGCCCTTGTGGTGTTCGCACTGACCCCAGATCGGCCTTGTGGTGTGGCGGCGCCCTTGTGGTGTGGCGGCGCCTCCACGAAGTGCGCGCGGACCTCAGATCCTTTTGTAATTTCGGTGCAGATGATTGTCCTTGTCTTGGCAATGGGAAGGAAGCTACGCACCAAAGCCTCGGTGGCCACATCCATGCACAGGGGCCAGGGGCGCTCAGGGGCAACGTTCAGGCGGGAAAGGCTCAGTGGAGGATCGACCGCGCATCTCCCATTGATCGCCGGTAGGGGCCCGATAGCTCGCCCCCGCCCAGGAACGTGCGGTTTCGCCATCGGGGGCCTACCGCCGATACGTCGGCGACATATCAACGATTTCAGCCCGATGTCTCCTCCCCTGCACTTTCCCTCTCGATTCCCAGGACGACTCCGCGAGCGAGCTGAGACCTGTGGTCGAGCAGGGGCTGGAGCGGCTGGAGCATGTCCGCGGCGAGCTGGAGGCGAGGGCGGGCCGCGCCCAGTCGCCGGGCGGCCAGCTCCCTCGGAGGTTGCAGGGAGCTGGGCCGCCCTGGGCCCGAGAGGTTGGATACGCATTTAGATTTAGACCGTAAGTCACAGAAGCTGCCGCTCGTCTTGGATTGAATGTATTTCGGCGAATCGCGTTCGCGCCCAATCGCGATCAGCAGCCCCAAACGGCGCCCATCATCATCAAGTGGCGCTCAATGGCACCAATACCGCCCAATAGCGCCGCGAAGAGGAGTTACATAATGTCGGCTCTGCGCGCGATTGGGCGCGCTGAGTAGGTGCCATGCAGATGGCCAAAAGTTTCCGCGAATTGTTTTCTAAACATCTGACTCTCCGACATCGGTGGGTGTCGAGGGAAGACACGCGATGACCACAACCGAGATGTCGTGGGATCTCGACGCAGATCTTGGTCATGGTCCATGCCAGCCGGCGCCGATTCGCGAGAATGACCAGCGAATTGACGATGGCCCAGGTGGACGGTGACCAAGATCGAGACAAATGTTTCTGCGTTCAGTCTCGGTCATTGTCATTGTATTATGTCCCTCCAGGGTGACCAGTCGATGGGCATATGGGAGGCCCTGTCGTAATTCACCCACGTCGTCTGACGATGAAGCTTTGCTGCAGGCCTCACGTCTTGCGATTCTGGATATTGTTGCTTAAGCTCAAGAAGCCTGAAAACGGGGGTCTCAAGCACTTATCCCTTTGGCTCCTTTGGCGATCCAGGGGCGGTAGTTTTATCGTTTGTTGATTTACCGTGGAGCTTGCACGTTGGAGGATACAGTAAGCATTTGGTACAAGTTGTCGGTCGGTTACGCCAGTGTTTGGTATTGCGCGTTGAGTGTTGAATTGTGCCAGGTGTTTTCGTTCATCAACGCATGGCGCCAAGCTTGTTACTTGCTGATCCAGTTTGGGCCATCTCGCAATTGCATTTCATTAACCCTCTGAGTTCCACGGTGGCAGAGGCGACTGAGCCATCGGCGCCAGCCTCCTACTCACACAAGGTGGTGCAAACAGCTGAAGCCGTGTCACTCACGCAGATGATCCACCACAACGTCGTTTGCAGTTAGTTTGCCTTGGTGATCTGAGGCAGGACGATGCCTTCGGGCATTCTTGGCAGCTGCAGCCGATGCATAATATGCATCGCTTGCTTGACCGAACGTGACGATGACGCCTCGACGGTTTCATGAACACTCACATGGAGAGTGCCATGCTACGTGGAGAGTGTTATAGTCATTGGTTGGTTTCACGAAGGTCGGAATGCCGTGGAACTCAGAGTGTCGGCGCGGCAAATCAGCACGATTCCACCGATCACACAATGTGCCCATTTCATACCGCTTAGATGACATGGACTTAATGGCCATGATTGTGGCATTGCACGGACTCGGGCATTGACAAAGGCATTCGGGCATCGCTTGTTCGCATTAACTGATGGGGAATGGGCTGTCGTCGGTTCATAGAATTCGTGCGATGTTTTCAGAGGTCGAGGTCGATACATGAGCTAGTGCATTCAAGATGTGCGTGGAATCACAAGTCGAGGGGCCATCTGGTTTCCTGCGCCAGAGACAGCGATCTTGTTCCTGGTGTGCACCCACCGCGAGGATTACGATGGCGCCGAACGGACAACGAGAGGTACAACGTAAACATGGCACGATTTCTGGGTCAATCCGATAAGTCGGTTTACGCTTGGGTTTTCCAGCGACTTCAGAGCACATCGCACGGATATGTAAGTGTGGCGTCTTTCGATGCGTCGTTGTGCAGGGCACGGCCAGAGCTCGCCGAGGCTGACCCAAAGGGATTTCAGTAAAGCGGCAATGTGACACCCTCCTCCTCCTCCTCTTCCGCCTCCTCCGCCTCCGCCTCCGCCTCCGCCTCCTCCTCCTCCTCCTCCTCCTCCTCCTCCTCCTCCTCCTCCCCTTCCTCCTTCAGCAAAGGGATTTTCTTTGGTAGGCCTGTTGTGGCAGAGTTCATTGTGGAAGTCTCCGCTGGTGTGACGGACCCACCTCCTCGCGATGGGAACCACCCGTGCGCGAGACGACGAAGAGTTGATGCTGCAAATTTCGATGGTCCGTTTCCGAGACAGGTGGATGACATGTATTGCTCGATCATTAGCGACGCCATTTTTTGGAGCGGAGCATGATTTGATTGGAGACCGGCGACGTAAATTAATTTTGGAATGCCGCGCGATGGACGTCATGTGTTGCGGGAAGTCAGTTGCAGGAGAGTGTTTCTTATTGTGTGGGGCATGGCGGGCGTCATGGCCCCCTGACCCCCTTTTATGACGCAACGCTTTCCCCCCCACCAGTGCGCTCCGGGCATTGCCGCCGTGCGCATCGGGATCTGCATAGGTGTCCGGTTACGACTCCGCGTCGGGGTCAGGTACGCAGTCGTTGTCGTCGTCGTCGTCGTCTTCGTCGCTCGTCGCTCGTCGTTCGTCGCTCGTCGCTCATCGTCGTCGTGCTCGCGGACCCAGCTGGAGCCTGTTTTTTTGGGGGGGCCGATGACGGCAATCATCTGGGGGGGGAGGGGGCCGATGGCGTCACGTTTCGCGCATGCGGCGTCTGGGAACGCCTAGGAATGACCGAGGACGGGTAAAAGCAGCATGTAGGTGGCGATCTGCACCACAGCGCCTCGTGTACACCACAGTGCTCTTACGCACCACAGCGCCTGCGTACACCACACCGCTTATGTACACCACAACAACCGCGTGCAACACAGTGCCAGTGTGTGCCACAATGCCTGAGGGCACCGCAGCGCTTGTGTACACCACAGCGCCTGCGTACACCACATCCGCCGTGTGCAACACAGCCCCAGTGTACACCACAATGCCTGCGTGCACTACAGCACCTGTGTACATCACGGCGTTTGTGCACACCACAGCAATCGTGCGTGACAGCGCACCATTGTTGCATATGGAATGTTGGAAGGAATACTGAGCACAGAATGGAACGCATGTGGCTTCCACAGAAAACAAGTGTTTGATTCAGGATTTGGAGCGGTATCCTTACGGAAAAAGGAGCGCCGCTGGAATCTACGAGTCCTCCCGAGTCTGGCCGCATTATCTTAACTCCTCCCATCTGCGTCCAGGTGGCTCTAGCAAAATTGGCCGTCCGAGAACCAAGTGGTCTGATTCAATCGACCATTCTGCGGTGCACGCTGAGATGCGCACGTGCGTTGTAGCGCCGACCCGCACGACAGGGGGGGAAGTGCGAGGGAGAAGGAAGAGGAGGAGGAAGAGGAGGAGGAGGAGGACGAGGAGGAGGAAGAGGAGGAGGAGGAGGAGGAGGAGGAGGACGTGGAGGAGGAGGAGGAGAAGGTGGCGGAGGAGGGGGGGAACAACGTCGCATTTTATTATCAGCGCATCAGGCACGGTTTTTTGTTGTCCGCAACATATCCTCCCTTACGTGCTCTTTCTACCTGTCCTGCTTACGCAGGCGCTGTGGTGTACACCGCCGCTGCGTTGTACGCTGGATGCTGTGGTGTAGACAGGCGCTGTGGTGTGCACGGGCGCTGCGGTGCACGCAAGCATTGTGTAGTACACAGGCGTTGTGTTGCACATGGCTGCTGCGGTGTACACATTCGCTGTGATGTACACCGGCGATGTGGTGCACGCAAGCACTGTGGTGTACACAGGCGCTACGTTGCACACGGCTGTTGCGGTGTACGCATGCGCTGTGGTGCACACGCGCCCTATGGTGCACGCGAGCATTGTGCTGTACACAGGCGCTGTGGGGCAGATCACCACCTACATGCGGCTCGCGTCGTCGTCGTCGTCGTTGTCGCTCGTCGCTCATCCTCCTCGTGCGCGCTGGCGCGGTTGTGGTGCCGCAGCCACACGGCGGGGGGGGGGCGTTACGTCGTACCGCCCGTCCCCGCCCCCCCCCCCCCATGACGCCCGTCATCGGTCTCCAGTTGCGTTTGGCAACGAATGCCGTGGCCCTAACACACAGCCAGTGCGCATCGATCGGAATCTGAGTATGCATTATGATTTGGAGTGCGACGTTCAAGATCTTCGCTTCGCATGCCCCGCCTCAAATATTGGCGGCCGCTCTCCGCACAGTGCGCAATGGTTGAATTACCCCCCGACGGTTTCCCCAGCCAGGGGCTCGGTGATGCGTCCTGGGCTGCCCCAGGGGGGAAACAACATTGAGCATTATGCTGGCTGCGGGCGTTTTCACCAGCTATGCCGGCGCCACCTCGGTCTCAACGCGCTTCCACGGCCTCAGTGTTTGGAGGAGTTTTTGGGCGTGGCCCCGTGCCTAGCAGTTCTTCCGGCACTGTTCCCGGCGGCGGAGGCGCGGGCAGCATCCACGGTATTGCGTACGATTGCCGTATTCGCGCTTTACTTCGTGCACGGCAGTGCGCGTCACGGGATTTGGCACCTTTCCGGTTTGCAGGAGGGTTTTCCCGCTATCGTGAGACAGGCCGCGCAAGGTCATCCCAAGACGCTGTCCTTCCTCGCGCTCGCGCGCAGGCGGCCCCGCGATGCGCAGTAATTGTTCATCTGGCTCCTCCTCCTCCTCCTCTTCTTCCCTTCTTCCCGACTCATCAAGGCGCGCGTCTGGGCGCCTCACAATACTATGCTATCTATGCAACTGTAATGATAGCCGCCACACGTGCTCCCTCAGGGAGCAGACCAGCTTCGAGTCGCCTGCGGGCTCTCAGCCCATGCGCCCCAGCTTTCTTGCAGGGGGCAAGCAAACTCTTCAGCTGCCTGGCGGAGAAAGACCCGCACACCATGCAAGCAACTGAAGGATTATTCTGCGCCCACAACGAGGGCACCGTATCAAGAGCAACCAACTTATGCGGTCGCTCCCCACTCTCTTCGAGTTTCTTTGACGCACACACAGCTCTGGAGACAATTGAGCCAGGACACACAGGCTGGCCTGGCTCAGAAACACGGCAGCAACGGCACCAGCGGCTACCGTCAGGACCATACCAATCATGCTCGGAAATCGGTCGCTCGGGCCGAATCGGGCCAATCGCACGCGGCCAAATCGGTCTCGCCGACGGACGACTGACCACACAGTCACGACTATTCACCTCGGTCCCGACAGTGCCAAGCCAGTGAGCAACACGCTCCACCATAGCACACGACTTCAGCCGCTTCTTGCGAACCTCGGCAGGAATACGAAACCTAGAAGCAGAGTGCTTGGCCCAGACATCGGCCTGATGATTCCCGAAACGGTCGCGTCTCGAGACCTGTCCCGACTCCACGGCCTGGATGGGCAGATGAGCTTTTTTAATCTTCCGCACCACCAAGCCGTTTTCACCGAGACCTCCAAATTCCTCGAGAAGCGCCCAGATCTGCTTCCAAAGACAGGCCCAAGCACTACAATACGCTGTGGTCCTCGCAGGGCCACGCTCATAAACTCCCTCAAAGACAAAGTTACTATCGGTCACCGCCTCGATGGGAGGGACGGCAACTCTCAAAAGCTGAATGAGAGCAGTCAACTCAGCGCCATCAATGTCACGGACAGGGCCCTCGCACGCTCCATACACAACATCCAGTATTCCGAGCGGCTCCGACGCGAGAGTGACGATGGCCCAACCAGCCACGGTCCCCGCGGCCCAGTCCCCTTCAAACACAGAACCATCGATAAACGCCTCACTCGCCTGAATCACTCCTGGCCCGTCATGACGTCGCCACACGATATGAGAATCACTAGGCGGCCTCCAACCAGCGGGCACCTGCGTAACTTCCCACAATCCTCGTTCCAGCAGCAGCGCCGCAGCAGGTTCGTCCGCTCGATCGGTGAGTACGCGAAACTCAGACGGCATCGGTACACGATCGGCTCCCTCGCAAAAGAAATGACGGTGGAGGAGCGTCCCCCTGCCGTCGCACAATAGACATTGCTCATCTGACACAAATCCTGCCTCATGCTTCCTAGCCATCGGCCACTGCCCATTGACAAGCACTGATCGCAGGTACCCCTTTTGCATGCAGTCCAAACGCGGCAGGTGCTTGCATTCCTCCGAAATACAACGGCCCGTGGACAGAAGAGAATAGAGCGGCTCCCACACAGCACCTTTAGAGAGATGAGCAAGAGTCTCGTCCATAGACACATACATCCACTGCCATGCCAAGACTGCCCTCTCCAGCAGCTGCGTGACATACCACGGACCCACATCCTGCACATCAATCACATCACCTTCATGAGTAACCCAGCGAAGCGGAGTAAGCACAGTCCATCCCACCCGTTCCAAGGACAGCCTGACAGCCCCACAGGGACTTTGAACTTGTGTCCAGTGCACGATTCCATGACAACCCAACATAGAAGCTTCCAGAACACGACTGGGCACCCAAGCCTCCCACAATGCACGTACAAACGTGACAATAGGTAACAAAGTGGCCCTATACAGCGGGTCCAGCTTGCCATGGCACAAAAACGTCAACGTTCGACTCTTGCCAGCCGTACGGGGCTCAATCGCAGAGAAGGCAAGAGCCCTAGCAGATTCCAGCTCACCAGCGTTGCACCCAGTCACTGACATGCCATAAGAGCAGCTCGACTCAATCCCAGCACGATCAATGCGCGCCGCAACAAGACGCTTCTTGGATCCAGTCCAGAACTTCCTCATGCGCCGAACCTTGAGTCGTGCCTGAGACACCTTCGACTTGCGAACCGTACGAGCAATACGTCGTCCCGCAGTGCAATCAACTCCCAAATTCCTCTCATGCGACACAGCTACAGCGCCTGTGGCTCGAGCCAGTTGAGCCGCTATCTCCGACCGCGCCGACGAGCCATTAGGAAGCACCCTCGTTTTGTCTGTGTGTACCTGCAAGCCAAACTCAGCTTGAACTCGTTGCAAATCTTTGGTGGCCTGCGCAAGCTCACGACACACGCGATCACGACCGCCAACACGTTGCATCAGCAAGTCATCGACCACAACCATGGGCATGACCGTACGGTGCAGCGCATGCACCTGATCCAGGGGAAGGATGAGCGCTAACTTGAGCATCGTTGTCGCCCACCCATCCCCTGGCAGGATAGTTTGCTCAGTGACGATACCCTCAGACACCGCAGATCCCAATGCCAGAAACCGCTGCATGCGATAGAGCTCGACCTGGAGCTTCAACTGCCATAGAGGGAACCCCGTATGCACAGCCGCCTGGAGAAGAACGCGGTGCTGGACTTGTTCAAAGGCCTTCAGGAGATCCAGGAGAACCTGAGCAGAACACCAGAGGCCCGAGCGAGACCCAGCCCCCCGAGACTTACACGTGGCCCACTCTGGCCAGGCCGTCTGTTGCCAAACCGCTCTCTCGCAGGATCCCCCCGCACAAGCCCAGAAGTACGAACGCTGATTGTTCTTCCCCCAAGACAGCGCCAGGGGTCGACGGAGTCGAGCCTGAATGCGAGCCAGGACATGGATGAGTGCAATCGGTCGAACTCCGCCAAGCCTCTTCTGTAGAAACGCTAGTTTGGTGCAGAAGTGCGGCCACTGCGCTGAAGCCTCCACGGCCATGAGAAGGTCCAGTAGACATTCCAGAGCCAAGCCGTCTAGCTCCAGGAGCTGCCGCGGCCTGATAGAATCAAACCCAACACCAGAAGCAGCCTTGAACGTCCGCAGCACCTTCCTCAAGTACTCAACACTTGGCCTGGCAGGCCTCTCTCCCAACTGCTCTGGCCACTGCGCACATTGATGCCATTGCCCCACCTTCCACCATCGAGACCACTCAGCCTGAAGCATAGACATCTCACGCTGCTTGTGCACAGGGAGATGAGCTCGCTCCTTATCAGGCGCACATGGAGACCACGGGACCTTCTCACGCGTGATGGCGAACAGGCCCCCAGCACCCTTGCCCGCCTGAGACGTGACCCACTTGCGAAACTCACTGGCGCGATGTTTCATGTCCTTCTCCGCCAACTGGGCAGCAGTCAACTTGGCGGCACTTGCTAAGATCTGCACCGCCCATATTGCAACCTCGCTCAACGGAAGCAGCGAAACAAGGCACCACCAACGACCAACAGGACTGTCGGGAACAGACATCACCGCCGCGGGCGCCTTGCAAAGCAACTTCCGTGCAGACGTGAGAGCCCGCAAACGAGTCGTGGGTTGCTGCCAACATGCCGCGAACTGTAGAGCCGCCCCCAGACTGCGTAGCCACAACACTGCTGGCGACACACGAGGAAACTTGGGCGGCATCGGAGGTAGAGAATCGACCCATTCTGGCTGCACGGACCGATCCCTTCCACACATCTTCCGCGCATCATCTGGAGACACCTGGTACACATCAACCCACTGCCGCTCAGCTGCTGCCGCAAAGCTCTTCCAGCCCCGAGACAAGCGCTCCTGTGATACCTGTCCTCGCGGCATAAACTGGCGCACGGTGTCCCACATAACCTCAGTATCGAAGGGCGAACATCCCATCGGTCGTACGTCGGGAACAAGACGAGGCACAGGCATCACTCGCATCTTGGGTCGGCCAACAGAAGACGCCACCTGCAAGCTGACAGTAACGTGCGGGCTCAAGGGGACCTCAGGATGCAAAGAGACAGAAGACACCTCAAGCCCCTCAGACACAATGAAGAAGTCGATATTACGCCCTGCTGGTGCACACGTCCCCGAGACAGGCTCGGCAACCACAGCATCAAACCAGTCCATCACACCTGCTTCGCGCAGATCATCTGGCTCATTGTTGAAGTCACCCGCGATGATGTAAGGGCGCCCAATCATACGAACACGTTCAGCAATTAGAAACAGTATCTCCAGATTTGCCGCTGCCATGCCTATCCTGTCATGCAGGTACACGTTGACCAGGATAACACCTGCGCTGGTAAACCCAGAGTGCAGATAGTACGCAGCTCGGCCAGGCACAATGATGGACTCAACGCCTTCCACCACGCCCAGACCATACTGCTGAGCGCACATGCCAAGCAAGCCACCACTACCAGAACCTCTGCGACCCGCAATACACTCCACAGCAGGAGAAAATGCGCAATTCCAGCCCGCCACACGCATGCGACTGGACTCGTCTTCACATTCTTTGGCGCACAAATGCGTCTCCTGAACAAGAATAGCATCAGACTGTTCCAGAAGCAGCTTGCGCACATCGGCATCATCAGAGGCGTGTAGATCCACGAACGTGGAGAAGGTGTTGACATTCATAGTGGGCACCTGCCAGACCTTCGGGTCAGGAGCGAGACCCAGTATCACCATCATGTGCAGCACGAAGCTTCTTGCTGGCCTCCTCACGGAGCTCTTGAATGAGCCTCTTCTTGTCGGCGTCCGGGATCGGGAAGTCAGGTGACAGTCCGTTGACCAGGCTGTCCCACTCGTCGTCCGACAGGCCGCTGGCCCGCGCCAACTCCACGGGAACAGGCACGTGCTCCCCGCTGAGGTCGATGACCCCACCAGCTCCTCCGCCAGACTCGCCCGCAAGGCGCCGCCGCCGCGCCGCCGCCGCCAGCAGCCGCTCCAGCGTCCGCCCCAGCTCCTGCCGCAGCACCACCACCTTCACACTCACGATGAGCAGTGAGCGCCTGCAGCAGCGCCGTGAGCGGCTCCGCCAGCGCTGTGCCGACCTGCTGCTGCCAGCCAGGGTGCCCATTGAGCACCTTGGCCACATGCGATGCCGCCGACACCGCTGACTCCGCTGCAGGCGGCTGCGGAGCACGAGCGGCCTTCGCCTTGGCATCCTCAACCATCTGCTTGAGCTCGGCCTCCAGTTTGCCCAGCTGGGCTCTGGAGGACACATATTGTTCCGTGGCCTTCTGCACCGCAATCTTCGCCTTGTCGAAAGAAGAACGAGCCCGCTGCAGTTCGGCCGCCTTGCTATCGATCGCCTGCTGCACGTTTTTGGCCTCTTTGACAGACACCAAACCTTCGAATCCGTTCTCACGCTTCCAACGCAAGTGCTTGAGCTTGTCCCGAGCCGACTGAGAGAGAACAGCTGCGGCCGCATCGAACTGAGCTGTGGACATCTCCAACCAAACCTGCGCCTGCTCAGCATCGAAGGAAGGTTGCGACTGCTGCTGCTGCCCACTCCCGCCAGACTTGCCCTTGCCCCCATGCTCAGACTTCCAACGAGGAGGCTCGAACACAGCAGGAGAGCGAAAAGCCCAGGCGCCGCGGGGAGCCTGCCACGGAGGAGGCGCAGGAACCATGGCGGCGCCTTTGGGCCCTTGCCCATTGCACCCCGCCTGGCGGCAGCGAGACCTGAAGCCGTAATTGTGATAGCCGCAGGATCCGCAGTCCCAGCCCGACATCACGTAGCACGGACAAGGAGCCTGTCGGCGCGGCGGGCGCGCGAAGACAGGAAACAGTGGGGGCCGTTCCTCCCCCCCGCCACTAAGGTCAAGTCCTGAGCCGATGGCTACGGACTTGACCCAAAATGGCTACGGACCTCCTCCTCCTCCTCCTCCTCCTCCTCCTCCTCCTCCTCCTCTTCCTTCTCGTTTCTCTCCCCTTCCAGGTGCGTTTTATTCCCTTTCCCTTCGCGGTGAAGTGTCACCGCGCCGACTCCGTGACATTTGGATCGTGCTCTTGGGTGGCGATTTGTCACCGGAAACGTGAAGTCAGACTTCCGGGCGTGCCGGCCCAACCGCTATGAACGGGCGCACCGTGGCCCCCTGCGCCAGCCCTTGGAGGAAAAATGCTCTGGCAGTACAGGTCTAGATTATGTCGGTGTGACGGCGCTGGTTGTAGCGTCTAGGGTTGCCCCTGTCTCCCGCTGCCTCCCTTGCCTGATTCAGCATGCGCGTGTTTATTCTTGAATGTCGTATTCTGGCGTCTGTTTGTGTGATACCAGATATAGTTTTTGTGCAGCATGTGTCCCTCGTTCGTTCCCGCTTCCTCGTGCTCCTCCTCTCCGTCCTCCCCTCCTCTCCTCCTCCGTTCGGGTCCCTGGGCTAGTCGTCCTAGTCGGCTGGACGGTCGTGCCACGCGGCTCAGCGTTGAGGGCCCGCCTTCTCTCCTTCGTCCTCCTCCCTCTATTAGTTTTTTTCTGCGCGAATGGCGCCTTCGATTGCAGCACTCGTGTGAAATATCATTGGCCGTCCCGGCCTCGGGGAATATCTGCACACAGTGAGCCCCATATTGTCTCCCAGATCAAGGTCCGTTGCTTGAGTTCGCCTATCGCAGGTTGGCTCTTGCGACGTTCTTAGTTTGTGTGGCGATGGTCGTCCTTCTCCTCCTCCTCCTCCTCCTCCTCCGCCTCCTGTGTTTCACTCTGTGCAGCAGTGATGCGTTTCAATGGGTACTTCGTATCGCCTGTTGCTCTGTCCCCAGCGCCCGCGATGTTCAGAGTGGCTTCGGGATCGGCATTTCGTGGTTGTGCCATATATATAAAAAAGCATTATGATTTGGAGTCGGGTGCTGCTTTCGTGCTGACAACGTATTGCGCTGGAGTGTGATGGGTGCAAGGCTCAAGCCCGTTTTACCTTGCGGCAATGAGTACTGTTGGGACGCGCCATTCTGAACGAGGGACCCCGCGACATTCCTGTCATTGTTTCGAGGCCACGGCGATGAAGATTCACAAGCACACATACGTTGCTTTGTCCCGACATATCGCTGGGTTGTAATTTTTTAAGCAAGACATTACGTCAGTCCGGTGTGTATTGCCAGACACCCCTCGCCTCTCCGAGCAACGAACATAATTAGCAATTCTTATTTGAGCGTTGCGCGCATTTCCATTCCGACGGCATTTTGCGCGGATTTAGCCGACATTTGGTTAGGTGTCCTGGAAGTTTGGAAGCCGTTGTCTTAGGTGATGGAGTTCAGCTGCTTGCGGCAAACCCCGCCACCGTTCCTGTGCAACAGCGCAGCAGGAAGGAGGCTGAGTGCATGAACAGCGCAATTCTGACGGGTAGGTTGCATTGGAACGGGTCGTGATCCCGACCTCGTCTTCGTCCGCGCGGCAGGGGGAGGACGGTCAGAGGGAGAACATAGTAAGGGCGAGGAGGAGAAGGTTTCTTGGGGCCTCATGGGGGATGCAGGGGGCTTCATGGGGCCTCTTGGGGGCTGTTCGGGCCTCTTGGGCCGTCTTAGTGGACTCGTGGCCCGTCTGACGCCTATGGAGGCCGCCTCTGGGCTATGTTGGTGCCCTCTTGGAGCGGTTCACGGCCTTCTTGGGGCCTTCTCGGGAGCCCCTTGGGCGATTTTTGGATCCTCCCTCTTAGGGGTCGCTGGGGCTGTCTTGGAGCCATCTTGGAGGCCTCTTGGCGAACAGACGAGGACCTCAAACTCGTTCAACCATGTAAAGCACAACCAATGGTTTTGGGTTCGTTGAGCTCGCCAGGAGGGCCTCTTGGAGCTCTTTCGGCCAGTTTGGGGGCGTGATCTGTCTTGAGGCTGCCGTGGGAGCCCCTTGAGCCGTCTTCGGCCATATTGGTGTCATCTTGGCTACCTTGAAAGCTGTCCTGGAAGCCGTGAGGCTCCCAAGGAGGCTTCAAGACAGATCAAGAGGCCCCCGCGACGGCGAGGTCTCCAAGAGGCCTTCCAGGAGAGCCCGAGGAGTGAACAACCATTGAGTCTCCAACGGTTTTTGAAGGATGTTGGGGTTATGGCAAGTTTGGGTTTCGGATCGTTCAAGGCAGCCTAAGAGGCCTCTTTGGGCAGTCGCGTTGCTGCCGCGGCGCGCTTCAAGGCCGTCTTGGGGCCCTCTTGGGAGTTTGGGTCTTGTTGGGCCGAATTGGGGGCCCTTTAATGGGCCTTGTGGGAAGTTTTATCGGAGCGTTTGATTGTGGGCCCGTTTGTGAGAAGTCTCGATGTGTCCAGGACTGCGATGGTGCAGCACACATTGAAGTGAGGTGCCGTATCGACCTCGGGCGCCATCCGCGCTGCGTGTGGTTCGTTGCTCGTCAGTCCCAGGCAGACTTCATGATCAGCGGCTCGGGGTTGTTCCAGGCATTATCCACCAGACCGCATGTAATATGTCGCGTGGCCAACGATCCTATTAAACCTCCATGGTTGGCGATCGCCGACGTTCAAGGAACGTACCATGTTGCCCCCATCCAGGTTGAGCAAGTTGGTTCTCTTTTTCCAGAGTTCTCACACAGGCAATCCATTGGTGCGAATCGTCAACGATTTCATCCGTACACTGTCGTCTGATGAATTAACATGTCGGGGCAGGGATGGGTACGTGTTCCAACATCGTTTTTTGTAGTCAGAATAATCCTCGATCGATTGTGCGACGGGCTAGCGTCCAACGAAGCAGGAACGGTGACTCGTTACAGGGAGGAGGGAGACAAGAGGTTGGGATCAGGGAGGAAGTTGGACGGAGGTAAGCTTGCAGGGAGATGATGGGTGGATGGATGCAGGAATGGGGGCAGGGATCGAAGAGATTGAAGTATGATGGAATTCAGGGGATACGGCAAGGAGGTGTGGGGGGATGGAAGGACGATCGGATTGCATCACATCGGATAGATATGGTTGGACTTGATTGGATGGGCGGTTGGAAGATGTGGAGGACCCCATCCACAAGCAAAGCAAAGCCCGGTCTAATCGAATCGGTCCGCAAGCCGACGTGGGCAGAAAGCTATGAATTCGCGCGGGCGGCGGAAAATTAATTTGCAGAATTCTGTTCAGAAGTCTAGCGCGTAGCCCTCAGGACCCCCCGCCCTCCGTGAGCGGGAAGCATATCCACTCTCGCGGCCGTGCGGTCTGCACCTCCTCGTCCGAGACCCCACAGTGGCGCGGCGGCCGTGCGCGGGTGTCCCTTCGCAGAACGTATCCGTGGAGGGCGCCGCGGTTCCCAGGCCGCCAGGGCAATGGATGATGGTCGCAGGCGATTTCTCTCGGAGGTGATCGGGCGGGTGGTAATGGACTATATCCATGGGGGGGAGCACAGAGCCCCAAAGGAGCCCTTGAGGCCCCTTTTGGAGCCAGCAGGGGCCCTAAGGGCTCGTTTAGGGCCCTTCACTTTACCCCCTGTTTAAGTCACCCCTCGTTACCTCCCGCTCGATTTCGGCGGCGAGCCTGTGTCGAAGCCTTCTCCGAAGACAGAGACGGTTTCTCAGAAGGCCCGAGAGCTTCTGAGAAGCGCCGCCGCCTTCTGAGACGGCCTGCCAGCTCTCACTTCCCCTCGGGCGCGCCGCCGACCAAATCCCAGCCTTCCCCGTCCCCCACAGCAGGCCGTTCAGAAGAGAAGGGGAACTCGGGGAGGCACCCCTGGGCTGTTCAGAAGCAGACCTGTCGAGGATGGACGCCCACCCTGCCGCACATCGCCGCCGTGAGCCCAGCTTTGTTGGCCCAGCCGGAAGTGCCACGAAGGTCGGGGATTGGCGTCGCCATGTTTCTCTGTTCGATGGATGTGCTCGTCGCCCGTGGTGTCAGGCGGAGCTGCAGCGGGTGCGCGATGAGCTCGCGGGCGAGTCCGCCGCGCGGGAGCAGGGGCTCGGGCGCGTCCGCGCGGCCCAGGACGCGCTGCAGGCGGCCCTCACCCAGACGGCCGCGTGAGGAGGAGGAAGACGAGGACGGCCCGGAAGAGGCTCCCAGCAGCAGGGAAGCCCACTTTTTGGCCTGCACAGTATGTCCAAACCTTGGCCCCTCAAGGAAGGGGCGGCGGGTTGGGTGAGACTGGTGGGGGCGGAAGACCCCTGATAGCGCCGTCTTCATTCCCAACCATCCTGTGGTGTTGGGTCCTCATTTTGAAGAGACGGTCCCCGCGTTCCTCTCCTCTCCTCTCCTCCTCCTCCTCCTCCTCCCTCTCCTTTATCCGTCCCCTCCTCGCCTATGCCCTATGCCCTTCGCATGTCTCTATTTCGGCACGCTCCTCACACGTCTCGTGGCCCCATAGGGAGCTCCACCGAAGGTCCAATTGTCAGCGTTCGCATGCGCCCACCGCATGCATTTTGGCACATCTCTGACACGTTTCGTTGCCCCACAGGGAGCCCTACCAAATGTCAAAATACCAGCGTTCGAATGCAACCATCGCACCCATTTTGGAACACCCCTCACACATTTCGTTGCTTCATAGGAAGCCCCACCGGAAACCCAAGTGTCCACAGGGAGCCTCACCGTGTTCGCACATGCCCACCGCACCCATGTCGGTACACCCCTCACACGTTTCGGGGCCCCACTGGGAGCCTCACCAGAGGCCCAAATGCCAGCGTTCGCATGCGCCACCGCACTCAGTTCGGCAAGCCCCTCACACGTTTCGTTGCTTCATAGGGAGCCCCACCGAAGGCCCAAATGCCCACAGGGAGCCTCACCGAAGGCATCAGTGCCAGCGTTCGCATGCGCCCACAACACAAATTTTGGAACACCCTCACACGATTCGCTGCTTCATAGGGAGCCCCACCGAAGACCCTATTGTCCACAGGGAGCCTCACCGAAGGCACAATTGCCAGCGTTCGCATGCGCCCACCGCGCCCATTTCGGCACACCCCTCACACGTTCCGGAGGCCCCATAGGGAGCCCCAGCGGAGGCCCAAATGCCAGCGTTCGTATGTGCCCACCGCATCCTGTTCGGCCCACCCTTCACACGCTTCGTGGCTTCATGAGGACACCGAAGACCCAAGTGCCCACAGGGAGCCTCAGCGAAGGCACAAGTGCCAGCGTTCCCATGCGCCCACCGCACCCAGCGCGGCACACCCCTCACACGTTTCGTGGCCCTGTAGAGCCCCACCGAAAGGTCTCAGTGGTTGCGTTCGCATACGCCCACCTCGCCCATTTCGGCACGCCCCTCACACATTTCGTGGCCCCACAGGGAGGTCCACCGAAAAGCCTCAGTGCCAGCGTGCGCATGCGCCCACCGCTCCCATTTCGGCACACCTCTCACACGTTTCGTTGCTCCATAGGGAGCCCCGCCAAAGGCCCAAGTGCCAGCGTTCGCATGCGCCCACCGCACCCAGTTTGGCACACACACACCTCACACGCATTGGGGCCCCACAGGGAGGCACAACCAAAGGCACAATTGCCAGCGTTCGCATGCGCCCACCGCACCCTGTTCGGTAAACCCCTCACATGTTCCGTGGCCCCATAGGGAGCCCCACCGAAGGCCCAAATGCCAGCGTTCGCACCGCGCTCAGTTCGGCACACCCCTCACACGTTTCTTGGCCCCACAGGGAGGTCCACCGAAAGGCCTCAGTGCCAGCGTGCGCATGCGCCCACCGCACCCAGTTCGGCACACCCCTCACACGCTTCGTGGCCCCGCTAGGAGCCCCACCGAAGACCTCTGTGACTGCGTTCGCATGCGCCCATCGCGACCAGTTCGGCCAACCCATTGCACGCTTCGTAGCCCCATAGGAGCCTCCACCGAATGCGGTAGATACAACGACGATGCTCACAACTGCGTATGGTTCGGTCTTTCGCCAGACTAATTTCACATTCTCTTCGACCATTACCGTTATGGGGTGCGGGGGCGGCCTCTCAGGAGGAGGAGGGGATGACGCTTGTGCGTGTCACCGCCCAAGGGTTGCCCCCCATCCCGAATGGGTTCTCGCTGGCGGTGGTTTCTGTTTCTGCCCTGGCTGGCGCCGCGAGCAGAGCGCTCCCACGGTCTGGCCCGAGGAGAAGAGAAGACGAGAGGGGTTCCCGCGAGACCCTGGGACCTTGTCAGCTGCCGCCTTGCGCTTGAAGCGACCTCCCCAGGGGGAGGGGGGGGGGGACGCGTGGCCACTGTGGCTTGCGAGGGGTGCGTGTGCCGCGGGAGCGCAGGTATGGACGAGGGCGCGTGGGCAAGCAGCGGGCCTCTCTTCCATTGACCCTTTGTCAAGCCCATAACCGCTCAGCGCTCGCGCCAAAGACCGCCATTAGAAATCGCCGAAGAGCGCCAAAAGCTCGCTGAAGACCGCCAGAAGTTCGCCGAACACCGCCCAGCGCTTCGGGGGCATACTTCCCCGAATCCGTGGATCTGGCGCCCGCGCGCCAGATCCACGGATCCGTTCAGGCGAGTTTGACTACCGGGTCGACTTCGTTGAATTAGGGGTGCCTTTTGTGTCCAGTGTTTGGGGGCCCATGCCCTCTGCATTCTCATGGCAATGCGGCCCTCGGAAGTTTCTCGCGTCCTCTCGCGTGCCCTCTCCATTCCACTGCAGTCCATGTCGGCGTGTGGCCGGCAGATCGCCGTGCCCGGGGGCGGGTCGTGTGCGCCGCGGAGGGTGAGCAGCGAGCACCGAGGAGAGCGCGGGTCCGCACCCCTCGCCGCGGGGGCGGGTGCCCGCGTTCAATCCTTGAGGAACTCGGGGTCCCCCCGACCGCTGATGGTCTGGGGGCGGCAACGCATCAGGCGTCGCTCGGACGTGTGTATTTGTTCCTCGGCGAGAACCATCGAGGGGCATCGTGGATCGTCTTGCGTAAACGCACGGGCATCAGGTGGGAGCAGCAGGCAGGCGGACAGCAGGCATGCAGGAGGGGGGGGAGAGGCGGTGTCCGGGTGGAGGACGAGGAGGTCGATGACGAGAAGGAGTAAGATCATTGCCCGCGGACTTCGTGCAGGAAAGTGGAGGGTGAAAGCCTCAGGTTTGAAGAGAGCGGGGAGGAGGGAGGGAGTGTGGTAGGAAGGCATGGGGTGATGGAAGGGGCGGGGGGGGAGGCCTGGAGGCAAAGATGTGTACAACAAAGGGAGATGGGACGGATGGAATGCATGATTGCATGGAGGCACGGCCAGCTGGACATGATTGCGTTGCATCGGGTCGGGTTGCATTCAGTCGGATCGGATTCGTGTTGAATTGGACATGATTCGGATACATCCGCTGATGTTGGGCATCGGTTGAGTCGGATTGGTTCGGTTGGAAAGGTGCGGATCGGATATGGTCTGGTCGGGTTGCGATTGGATGGTTCGGTTTGTTGGGATCGGATTGTTTTGATTAGATCGGATTGGGCAGGATCGGTTGTGGTTTGACGGAGCATTCGAGCGATCTTTTCTCCACGAGGGGGAGAGGGTTCCGAGGTCAAAAGTCGACCCCAGGACTCATCCTGGGGCGCGTTATGGGCAGAATTTGAAGGGTACGAGAACGCCCGAGAAAGATCAGAAAAGGTTCGACCATACCCTCGATCATCCTTCCCAGAGATCCGACGCATTATGGTCCCGATGCGGTCATAGTCTCTGGAAATTCCAACGGCTCCCCCAATGTTGGTTTCACGGCCCCCGGGCCCAGAGAGGACCCTGGAGGCCGAATTTGGCGAGCATCCTCTAACCTCGATCATTCATCATAGTGAACACCCTAAGTTTGGTAACACAATGAATTCGTGGCCTCATTGAGGTCATCGTTTTTAGGGATATCCATCCTAAGCATGCGGTATCGTTTGAAGCATTTGCAATAGTCGCGCGCTATCCCTTATGTGTTTGGCCCTCCTACAGTCGACACCGATTTTAAGACTGGGCGACTTTCGAAAGGTACCCTTGCATCCTTGCCATCTCGGTCCATCTTCAACCACCTCGATAGCCAGCCCCGCTCGAAAACCTTTGGCATGGGCGTCCGACGCCATTGCATCCTTATTTCGCATCCCTGCTACCAGTGTTAACTCTATCCCTATTGTTTTTGACTCTCCTAACTTATGTCCCCACCCAAAGGATTAGGGATACATCTGTTGCTCCTCAATCGACCTTCGGCTTATCTCGGCCTTCCTCGCTGAGGGGGGCGGAATCGGCTGGGCGGGCCTGCAGCGGGCCTCCCCTCGAACCTCGACCACTTGTCCTGGTCCTCCTCCTGCTCCTCGAGGAGTTGGAGGAGTTGGAGGAGGAGGAGGAGGAGGAGGAGGAGGAGGAGGAGGGGGGGGACTACCTTGCCGCGGGCTCTCCACGTTTCCTTCTCTTCTCGCACCTCCTGCATTGCTCAGGTTGCATTCAGGCGGTTTTGTCTTGATGTCTTGCCACCAGAAGAACGCTACAGGCTTTGCACCTAGAGTTCGACCAACGCAACAGGTAAGAGGGGGACGAGATGGCACCATCCGATGGATTCTCTTGCCATCCGGTCTCAGGTCTCAGGGGGGCGATGAGGACGAGGACGAGGGGGTCCCTTGGGCGGATCCGGCAAGGCGGAATTGCAGCATGTCCGGGAAGCTCTCACGGAGGAGTCCGCCGCGCGGGAGACGGGGCTCGGACGCGAGCGCTCGGCTCGGGACGCGCTGCAGGCGGCTCCGCCCCGCCCCGTCGGGGGCCCCCACTCTGTGCGGTGACTACACTAAGATGCCTCCTAAATCGGGTCGTCGTATCTCGCCGCATCGCCGATGAACCGGCGATATTTCGTCGATGTATCGGCGATGCATCGGCGACGTCGGCGTTGCAGCGGCGAGCTTGGATAATATCAAGCTCCACATCGAGCCGCATCGCCGATACATCGGCGATGCGGCGCGATCCTCCGACCTGATCTAGTCCGACCCCATCTGGCAGGCCTAGGTAAACCGTGTTCGCGTCGCGCGCAAAATCACGACGGGAGTTTTTGTCAACGCTGTCAGCATTTGGGGGCCCTCGCGGAGCCCCGCGGGCGTCAGACAACGACCCGTGGTGAAGACTCCGTGCCTCCCCGGGGAAGGGGTCCAAGCTTCCGGATGGCACGCTGTGACAAAAATCTCCACGTCGGGCTGGGTATGGTGAGTCAGTGAGGATTTGGGTTGACCGCACGGGCCATTCTCCGAGCATTTCTCGGGCGATTGGGGCCTCCAAGGTGTCAAAACCGGGCGGCGTGCGGTGACGGACCATGCGGTGGGGATGTGAAGGATTCCGAGGTCACAGCACGGTCTGTCTCCCAGAACCCGACTTGGACATGGCAAGATCGTGCCGTGCTGAAACACGCGGCGGCGATCCCAGCGCGGGTGTCCAGGGTTGACCGCCCCCAGTGGTCCCGAATCGGCCAGTATCGAACGATTTGGGCTAGATCCCAAAAGCGCCGATCGTTCAAGGTTGAATTTTCTGCGCGAGCCTGAAGAGGACGACAAGGAGTAACCCCGTGCGGGCGATAATAACACATACCCCCTTTTAACCCCCTCTATGTTTAGTATCCCCGTTCAGCAGGATTTAATTGTGGAGATCGGCGCGGAGGCCGAACTTTCTAATCCACTTGGGAAGTTGCGAATCGAAGTTGCTATCATCTCATGCTGGTTAGCAAAGGCATCAAAACGCTGAGCATGGCCATGGTGGTCTCACCACATCACCGTCCGCAATTACGAGCGTGTGGCATGACTGTGGGACTCTCACCATTTCAGTTTGCCCAAGTTACGAACGTGCGACAGGGCCATTGGGTTCTCATTTCCCCAGCCGTTCCCGAGTCAGGAACGTGCGGCAGGGCCATGGGGACCGATTGGATTTTGATTGTACATGCGTTTTTCGAGCAGGCTGACCATTAGAGTTCATTCGCGAGCAACTACTATTACAACTACGTTCGTGCACCTCGTGGCGGGGGGCGGCTCCGAGGCCCCCGACCTCTTCGCCGGGGACCCCGAGACCTCGCCCAGCAGAGGACCAGCGCGAGCGCGGTCGTCGTCGACGCCGCCACGCTCTGGCTCGAGCTCCGGGGCGAGGAGCAGGCGTGCATCCACGAAAGCGAGGTCTTCGCAGCAGGCGCCAAGAAACGCATCGACAACTTCCGCCGCAAGTTCCGCGACACGCAGTCCGAACAGGACGCGACAGTCTTGGGGGCCGAGAAAGCCAAGCACTTGGCAGAGCACCCCGACCGCAAGGCGCAAGTGGGGGAGGCCTACTCGAGCGCAGCGGGCAAGTGCAGGATCGCCCTCATCAGCATCTCTGCGGTCGAGAACTGGTTCGAGCCGAGCAGGGGGCCCAAGTCCGCCACGAAGCGCAGCGTGCTCTTTGCCCCCTGCGCAAGGCACTGCCGAGTGAGCGACATGAGCCTCGAGGAGGGCACCCGGCGGCGCGACGTCACTTACGAGCGGAGCGATGGCGAGGCGGAGCGCTTCCGAGCAGGCGAGCCCTTAGGAGCTTTGCCCATGGGCTGGCGCAGCGCTCTGCTCGAGTTGTCCGAGGAGGAGCGCGCGAGGGTCTTCGAGGCCATCGACGCGCGGTGGCAACCGAGAGCCTGGACGGACGAGCTGGTCGCTTGCTGGACCATCGACTTCATCAAGCAGGAGCGCGGCCAGAGCTTCGCGTTCGCAGACTGCCTTTCGAGCCAGTGGACCGAGGCAGCGTCGCTCCGAGGATCCAGAATGTGATCCGCGCGCCCGTGGCCCCCGGCTCTTCGAGCTTCTTGCAAGGGCCGGGACCCCGCAATCGCAGCCAGTTCATGGCCGAGATCCGAGAGGCCCAGGGCGAGATGCGCTGGGCCATAGAGCAAGACTGGATCCAGAAGGGCAAGGCCGAGCCCCAGAAGCAGTACAGTCTCCGACGCAATGGGGGCCCTACGAGCGCCTCTACTGCGTCTCCGAGGTCCGCGCCCACTTCCGCGAGAAGAACACGGGCGCGGTGCCGCCCCGCGGGCTGCAAGCGAACCAAATGCTCGCGGTCCGGCCGACAGAGCAGGGCGAGCTCAAGGTCGTCGCGGGCGCGGGGCCGTGGAGCTACTCCATCCAGCCCGGCCGCGGCGTCGAGAACAGCCTGGCGAGGGGGCGCCTGGAGGGCGTCCAGAGTTGGCCCCAGGGCGCGCCGCCCGTGCCCGAGTGGAGCGCCCTCGTCGGGGGCTGCTTCCACAGCGACGACTTGCTGAGGGGCGACGAGCAGGGCAAGAATCCCTGCCTCCTGGAGCTCTGAGAACTGGACCTCGAGCTCATCAGCGGGCAAAAGGGCATGCCCAAGCCGCCAGAAGAGCGGATCAAGGAGATCAAGTTCCCGCGCGCCCTCCAGAACCGGATCAACCTCTCGAGAGCAAGTGCTCGCAGGAACACGCGGGCGCCCAAATTCGCGGGCCAGGTCTCGGGCGGGCACGCGCGCATGTGGCAGCGCAAGAAGGCCAAGACCGGCGGCGAGGCTGCGCTCGAGCACCGGGGCCGAGGCGCGGACAAGGCGAAGCTCGCAGGCAGTCCGGGGCAGGCTCGCGCGGGCTTTTCCAAGAAGTTCAAGCAGCAGAAACAAGCGGAGAAGAACGCCGATAAGAAAGCGAAAGCCAAGAAGAACGCAGGTCTCGAGTCTGGCGAGGAGCCCCCCTGGCGCGGCAAGCTGGCGCGCGTCGCCGAGGGGGGCGCCCCCGGGGGCGGGCGCGGCAGAGTGCCGGGCGCCGGGCGAGTCTTGGGCGCCGAGGGCGCGCGCCGCCTGCGCGCCCTCGAGGCGGAGACCGCGGCGATCTTCCAGATCGAGAGCAGCGAGGCTGGGGGGCCCGCGGGCGCTCGTGAGCTTCCGTCTGCTTACGACTGGGGCGGCGGAAAGCTAGCGGCAACGGCGGGGGCGACGGCGGAAATTGGCGGACAGCTGGCGGAAGCAGGCGGAAGCGACGCGAAGCGTAAGCAGGCGGAAGCTAACGAGTGCTTGTGAATCCCGAACGCCATGGGTCACGGTCGAGCAAGACTACAAGCTCCCCGAGCCGCGCGAGCTCGACTGGCGCTGGACCAGACAGGCTCGCCGCACCGAGCTCGCCAAGGAGCACGCGATCATGAAATGCGAGCAGATCGTCAAGGGCGACGCCCTCGAGCTGGGCACTGCGCGCGCACTGCTGGGCGAGATCGAGTGGCGCGAGGGCGCCCCCGAGACCGCCCTGGCGGTCGAGCCCGCAGCGGCCGTCGCCCGGGCTCGGGAGGGCCAGGGCGAGGACGAACCCGCCGCCCAGCAGCCCGAGAAACAGCGGTGCTTGGCCGAGAGGATCGAGAAGGCCCAGCGCGCGCTGGTCCGCGCGCACTCCGAGGCGCCTGCGCACTACGCGTACCTCAAGGCGGGCGGATTCTACAATTGCCCTTGCCCCAAGGCGCCCCCGCTTGTTCGCTCTGTTCTGGAGCGAATCCGGGAGGCGCCCTGGGCTGGGGGCGCTTGCGGCGGCGCCCGCCGAGGTCTCGAGGGTCGGCGGGGGCGTCGCGGTGGAGTGCCGCGACGCCCTCCAGCAGCAGCCCGAGAACGCCAAGCAGGCCCAGAAAGGCCACATTCGAACTCACACGTGCGTCCAACTATTTCTGGAGGGGGGGGGGGGGGGGTAGGGTTCACTTTTCTCGGGAGCTGCCGAGCGAAGTTAACCCCGCCCTCCTCCTCGGAAGTCGCGGGGCGGGTAAGATTCGCGCGCGGCCTCCCAAGGCCGCCGCGGGGGTCCCACGCGAGCTCGGCGCCATGGGCATTGGCGAGAGCTGCCCTGCGTCAGGTAACATGACGTTCCAAGGAGACCGTTGGAGCTGCGGCCCGTGGGCGAGTCGCTGGATCCAGCGCGCCCCGCGCGAGATCCGAGGCGAGGGCCGCCAGGCGCCCGCGAGCATCAACGCGATGCGCGCCCGAGGCAACGAGTGGATCAACGAGCTCACGGAGGCCAGCGGCGGCGACTCGGCGACGGCCAAGGCCGAGGCCAAGGCCAAACACAAGTCCAAGCCCTGCAAGGGCCCCGCGGCGGCCGAGCCGAAGCGCGCCTCTTTCGAGGAGGCATGCGCTGCCGCCCAGCTAGACACAAAGTGTATTCGATGCAAGGACGGCCCCAAAGGATGCCGTGCTTGCGTGTGGGGAACAGTTCGAAGTCCAGCGCAAGAGAGGTTCCCTGGCCGGAACGGCCAAGGACCTCTCTTGCGTTGGCAAGTGGCAGGCGCGAGCCTCGAGGTCTTTCGAGTCAGTGTTATGGTATTGTGCCGAGCGCCAGCTGGCAAGTTGCTTAGCCGCGAGCTTCGAGATCTCTCGAGTCAGTCATGTGCCAGGCGCTTGCTAGCAAGTTTTGTAGCCACGAACCTCGAGATCTCTCGAGTCAATCTTGTGCCGGGCGTCTGCTGGCAGGTTGCATGGCCACGAGCGTCGGGATCTCTCGAGTCAGTCTTGCGCCGAGTGCCCAGGATCAGCATCATCGTGATCATCGTCGCCATAACTTACCTTCCCCAGGCAAGCCTTTGATTGACCCCGCCAGGCCCCCGACTTTTATTATCCCCCGGTGATTATTATCGCCCGCGCACGGTTAGCAGCAGGAGCACATGCGAATCATGCGCAAACGCTCAGCAGCAACGCGAGCGACCGCAAGCAAGCAAGGCGGGGGGGAAGCAGCAAGGAAACGCGAACGTACAGCCCGAACACATGCGAACATACGCCAATCACGTGTTCAGCCGTGGCCATAAACCGAACGCGGTTGACCAAGGCACAGCCTCGTACGATCGCTGAGACCACAATGGTGATTTGCTCAGGGGCAACGGTCGGGGGGGATCAGACTCAGAATGGGATGGATCGACCCGCGATCACCTTTTCATCGCCGATAAGGGCCTGGTCGTACCACCAACCTGCCCAGGAGCGTGTTGATTTTCCGTAGGGGTTTATCGCCGATCTATCGGCGGCTTTCCCGCGCGGGTGCCACCGAGGCGGAGCTGCAGCAGGTCCGGGAGGGCCTCGTGGGCGAGTCCGCCGCGCGGGGCGTGGGCCTCGAGCGCGAATCCGCCGCGCGGGAGGCGCTGCAGGCGGCCGCCTCCCAAAAATGGCGGGAGGAAAAGGGGGAAGAGGAGGAGGAGGAGGAGGAGGAGGAGCAGCAGCAGCAGCAGGAGGAGGACGAATCTTGTATCCGACATTGGGAGAAGGAGGATGAGGACGAGGAAAAAAAGGAGGAAGAGGAGGTGTCTCACTATGCAACCGCCTGCGTTTGGTTCAAGAGTTTCACTGGGGCACGACACCTTGTGGCATCCTCGTCTGGCTTCTCAGATAAAAGGAGCCCCCATCCTCATTACTACCTTTCTCGTAACCTTGCATGGTAATCAGACAAAGGTCATGGCAGCGAAACCCAGGGATGGAATACTCAACCTGGAGACAAGAATGCATCGAGTACGACCTGACCAATTTCGGAATTATTTGTTTGACGGTTAGCAGTCAAGGTTGTTGGGATCTCTTTAACATTGCCGCTAAAGCTAACCACACCGCGATGACAAACTATTTCGAAGATCGAGAACGCTCATTTAACCAAGGGTCTTTTAATGCGCACGCACGTTTTTTGACACATCTAACGGAGCATGGTTGAGTAGAGTCAACCGCGGGCAGAGGCACGAGTGGCGGAGTTGGAAGAATAACCGAGGAAGCCATGAGAACGGACGCAATTCTCGCGCAGATAGAGGATCAAGTTGGACCGGACGGGGACAGAATTCATCAGACACCCATAAGCGAGACCAAGACAATCAAGTCGCTAAACAGTTTTGGCGGAAACAGGGCGACATTTTGTGAATCAGCGCTCTGCAGCAGCACATCGGCGACATCCTTATATATCGGGGACCCCTTAAAGCCGTGGACCTGCAACCAAATTCCCTGCGGTAGGTAGCGGGGGGCGAAAGAGCTGGCCCTGCGCGCGCTCCTTGTAGTCCCTTTCGTCGTCTGGGTGAAACTCGAAGGACACGATGGTGGCCAGGTGCTCCTGCACGAGCCCCAATCTTGTCTATCTTCTTCAGCTCCTCCTGCACAGCCGTGAACCGGACCTCCATGCCAACGTGTGCAGGTAAGACGCCGTGGATGTCCCCCGTCTTGTGCATGTTCGGGACGTTCAGGAGGCGCCAGCCTGCGTCTGGGTCGCCTTGAACCGCGCTGCACTTGTCTACGTTTGTGCCCCTTTGAGGTGCTCAAACAGATGATCTGATAGAGTTTGCCGATGACCCGCTCGGATTACCAACGTGAAGTGCGGGCCCCAGAGGAGAGGCTCCAGCTTGAAATTTCCTTACAACCCACTCACAGACGGAGTCACGCGTGAGACTTCCTCCACATTCAATCCAGTGGAGCCGAACATTGACGACGGTTACAGGTTTCCCATGACCCGTTCGGACTCCAAACATGAAGGGCAGACACCATGGGGGGGGGGGGGGGTCGCCTGAGACGTCCTCGCAATTTACTGACAGACGAAGGTCTCGCCGAAAAGTGACGACGGTTACAAGTTGCCGATGACCCGCTGGGATTACCAACGTGAAATGCGGACCCCATAGGGAGGGGGCTCCCGCCTGAGACATCCTTGCAATTCGCTGCTCACCGACGAAGCCCCCGCGTGAGATTTCCCCCATATTCAGCCCAGAAGAAGCGAAACATTACAACAAGTTCAGGCTTCCGATGACCCGCTCGGATTGTCAACATGAGTTGCGGGCCTCAGAGGGAGGGAGCTCCCGCCTGAGATTTCCTCACAATTCACTCTACCTCCACATTCGCGCCTGAAACGCCTAAAAGTGGTAACAATTACAAGTTCCCGATGGCCCGCTCGGATTGCCAACATGAAGAGCGGGACCCGTGCGCAGGGGGCTTCCGCTCGAGTATTCCCTCCAAGTGAGAAAGTAAGATTGTAAGTGCGGGAGACAATGTCAGTGCGTGCATGATTGCGTGATTGTGGGATGATGATGATGGTGGTGATGAGGGTAGTGGTGATCATGGTGTGGTGGCGAGTGATTGGGCAAGTGAATGAGTGAGCCAGTGGCAAGCAGTAAACGAATGGGTGAATTAGTGATGTGGCGGTGATGATGATGGTGGCATGATGATGGCTATGATGGTGATATTGATGTCGTGGCGTGTACGTTTTTGATAATTGTTGGTGATTACCAGGATGACGATGATGATGGTGATGGTGATGATGTTAATGATGATGCGTAGTCGTGCTTATGATGGTGACGATGGTGATGATGATGATGGCGATGGTGAGGAAGAGAGGGAGGAGAAGAGATCCTGCGGGGGGGGGGCAGAGAAAAAAATAGCCCCTCCTAGGAAGTGGGGAACAACCCAAAGGACGCCCCAATCGCCCGTACATTCCGCAGTCCGGACGTGCACCCCGCGAAGCGAGAGAAGTTTACGATCGATCGCACTATCGATATCACGGTTGATCTCCCTGTCGATCTCCCCCCTTGGATACCAATATTGATCGATATCGCGGGCAAAACATAGCGTAGCATATAGCACAGCACGGGATACCGACGCGCAGCGAGACACTACGGGACACCACGGGACACCATGGGACACCACCAGAACACCATCGGGACACCAGAGGGCCACTGCTGGTCAACCTGGGGGACAGCACTGTTTGGCTGGGCTTCGCCCTGGCAGTGGCGGGTTCATTCGTCTCGCCCGCCCACGCAGCCTCGCTTCGCCCGCACGCACGACACGAACACGAAACCGAAACCGGTTTCCAGTTGGGGGTTTCTCCCCAAACCCATATAAATAAACATTGAGGGAGACAGAGAAAGAGAGAGAGAGAAAACAAACAAAAAAAAAACTATGATAAGACAATACAGAATGACAGAGCCACAGTATAGAAAGAGAGAGAGAGAGAGAGGAGGAGAGCGAGAGAGAACAACAAGTGCGTGTATGCATACATGCATGCACAGAACATAATGTAGTACAGTGAATGATACATATGCATACACACATGTAAATATGTATGTATGTATGTATGTATGTATGTATGTATGTATGTATGTATGTATGTATGTATGTGTATATATATATATGTGTGTGTGAATGCACACACACATATGTGGAAATACACATATATGAGAGATCCTGGCCCCAGGGCCCCGAGCCCGCCCCCCCCCCCCCTTGTACCACGCGCGCCCTCTCCCGGGGGCGGCTCCCTGGACGACCCCCTGAGGCTCCCGAGCGCCAATAGGGCCCCAGGAGCACTTCAAGACGGCCCAAGATGGCTTCCAGAAGGGCCAAGAGGCTCTGAAGACGCCCCAAGAGAGATCCAACAGGCCCCCCACGAGACCCCCGGAAGACCAACGTGGCCCTATTCCCTTCGTAGAACGTTTATTGCTAGCAGATCCGCTCCCTTGGATATCAGTGCGCCCAGAAAGCCCAAAGTGGCGCCCAAGGACGCCCCAGGACGGCTTAGGACAGCCCCAAGACGGTCCAGGAAGGCCTCTAAGACGGCCGAAGTGAGCCCCAAGCGGGCTCCAAGGGAGCCCCAAGAAGCCCCGTGGGGCCTTATTTTGGCCGTCTGGCTCCCAACATGCCGCCAAAACCACCTGGGAGGTCTCCACGACGCCCCCAAGAGAGCCCCAGAAGCTCACGAGATGCCCCCAGACCGCAGAGGCGTCCAACAAGTTCTTGAAAACCGTTCCGCGAGGCACCGAAAGGCATCCAAGATGCCCCTGAGGAGGAGGGGGGAGGAGGAAGAGGAGCAGGAGGATGAGTGCAAGGAGGAGGGGGAGAAGGAGGAGGAGGAAGAGGAAGTGGGAGAAGGAAGGATGCAGAAGGAAGGAGGAAGCGGTGGAGCGGGGATGAACCCTGTCATCTGAGATATTAAATAAGCATTCGGGTTCGGGTTTTCGAATCGAGTGTTCAGTATCAAGGTTGGTGTGTAAGGGCGAGGGTGTCAGAGTAAGGGTGTTGGGGTTAGTCGATTCAAGTTCGGCGGTTTGGTTTCGGATGCTAGTGTTGGGCCGTTCGTGAACTCGAGTATTGAGTTCGGGCTTTCCGTCTAGGGTGTTGGGTTAGGGTGGTAGATTATTCGGGTCTTTGGGGAAACGCCACGGACTCGGACCCGTGCCTGCTAATACCGTCTTCGCAATCGGCTAGAACCCAAGCGCGCGCGAAGCACGCGTGATTTGAGTATATATAGATATACATAGAGAGAGAGAGAGTGAGAGAGAGAGAGAGAGAGAACGAGAGAGAGAGAGAGAAGGAGAGACAGAGAGAGCTATGTATACATAAAGAGAGACATTCTTGACGCTTCGCGTATCCCCACCAGCGGCACGACGCACGGACACCAGCAATCCCACCTGCTCGCCGAGACGACCCCATTGGTGGCCTCCCCATGTACTTGAGAGCCATCGGCGAGGCAGACGTCACAAGGGACGAGCCCGCACCAGAAAAGATCACGCGAATGCAGAGGTTGCTGGGGGGTACTTTCAATGGAGTGTGGAGCGCCTGGGTCAAAAAGGCGGCCCACAAGCAAGGGAGATCCTGGGTCAACATCAAGTCCTGACCATTGGCGTAACACGCAGCAGCAGTGTGACGACTTCCTCCAGGCATGGAGCACGATGGGGTACGATGCCTACAACATGGACAGTGGATACCAGCTCCACGTCGACTGTCCAAACGTCATGGAAAAGCAGCGCAAGCACATGCAACGAGACAGTAAAGGACGCGTAGTGGAACCCCCCATCGGAAGCGGAGGCAAACACCTGTGGGCCGGCGAGGGCCAGGAGGCTGGAAAAGGACCCCCCGTGGGCATCCGAGGGCAGCGCTACACGGACAGGGCCATCTGGAGCTGCAGCCCCCTGGCGTTCCTGGCAGTCATGGAACGCGTGGGAGCACCAGCGTGACACTTGGACCGGCACAGACTGGAAGGCCAGGGGGAAGCGGTCCTCCCCCAGAGGCGACACCCACTACGCGGACAAGCGTCAGCGTGGGTGGGGCTTCGACCCCAAGTGAACGCGACAAGGCCGTGATGCTGTTGCCCATGTACCCCCCCCCTCCAGGTCGGAGTGGTCTGCCCGCCCGCTCA